AAATCAATTTTTGTGAACATTTTATCGCAATGGCGGAAATATCAACCTATATAAATCGTATTTCTATTTGTTATATTATTATAGTAGTCTAACAATATTGTCTAATAAGTCAAATTAGGTATGTATATTGTACTTCCTTATAGTATTTATAGTTTTCAGAAGATTGGTGAGTATTACGGATAATTAGTTACCTACACGATATTTATATGTGTAGTGTGTACTAATAATACAATAATAATATATTATGTATATTTATCGGACGTTCTTCTAGGATCCGTCCAAGGACCGACACTGGCGACACTATTAAAAATCTACCGTTATAATATTTCAATGTCACAAAATTGCCTATTAGCATTGTTTGGAAACAACGTAAGAATAATTAAGAACTATAGGTACACAAAATGAAATCCTAAAATCTTCAATAATAGATTTACAAAACTCGCTCGATGGTTTTAAAATAGAAACTCACGCTGAATCTCAGTAATAACGAACCACGATATTTACACTAAAAAATACAATAATCCAACCTTAAATATAAATTAACAATCAAAAAATCTAATGGAATAGTAAGGTCGTCTTAATGAAATATCTAGGGATTACACCTAGGTGAAAAACTAATCTAGAAAATAGACATATACAAAAAAAACTAAATCAAAGTTACACTTGATTGATAATATTACACCCCTACAGTTCGATCTTACAAATGAAATATTCACTACTACTAGTACTATAAGACAATAATAAAATTACTACTGGCGCTATTGACCTACGCATGACCAGTTTGGGTAGCCACTTTCCAGACAAAAATTAAAAAAATTCAAATCATAGAAAATAAATTCTTATAAATAGCATTAAAAACTCCTGCAGTTGAGGTATCTCATTCGAGTCATACGTGTAGAGCCATACTTGACTAAGGTCTCGTCGGAAAATTCTAGAAATTCTGGAGTGTATAAAAAAAAAAAATTTTAAAAAAAGTAAAAAAATAAAATACTCAACTTTGAAATAAAAATTACAGTTCTTTATTTTAGATAGTTTTTTTTTTTTTTAAGGTTACACAAAAAAAAATAATATTTTTAATTTATTGCAGAAATAGGTACGTCGGATGGCCATACTTTTCAGAATATTTTGCTTTTTTCGCATTTAACGAGTTTAACATATTGGTAGAACTCTACGCAGGTCATATTATATGATAAAATTAACGACCATGATTGATGGTTCATTCATATTTGTATGCAATAGAGCGAAATTTGCAATGCACAGTTTCATTCGGGACGTTTCGTTATTTTGTCGCGACGTCGGGAGTCGAGACAGAAAGGTCAATATCGGTGACAGTCCGGATATATCGAGGGGGGACCCTAGTCGCGCGTCTTAAATGTTGTCCGTAAAATATTATTGTTAAACGATAGACGTGTTTAACTGAGACTCGACACAGCCATTAATCGGACAAAAATGGAATCAATGGGGAAGAATGTAATGCGTAGATTCATATTTTCACGACAGAACTGAATAGGAAACACACGGAAAAAATATAATAATAATTAATAACACACGACGTGACGATCATTACGGCTCATGCCGTTCGGGCGCGTACTTTCCCGGTACCTGTACCGCGTGCCAAAACCGTCGCGATCACGCGATAATTTACCCGACTTGCAGACCACGGTTAGAGATAACCCAGGTATATTATTATCACGTCTGGCGGTTGCGATTTACGGATTTCCGAATAGGTAATTATTGGGCCAACCGCTGTCATCGCGCAGCAGCCAGCATCGGTCTGAGCTGCGAGAAAACCGGTCGCGGGCCGCCTCGGTTTCTCGTACGAGTCATAAACGTGATTATTACCATATTATTAGGTACCTACCGTCGTTCGGCGTAATAACATTTTAATCGTCAAGTACAATAATTATCGAGTAGTGCGGTGTGCTGCAGTGACGTCATTGGGTATGAATTTACAACATGGAAAGCAAAAAAACCGAATATATCGCATTGTAATGGGTATCGCCGAATCGGTGTACGTGCGGTAGGCGGTACCACACATTATATTATTGTATATAGGTGTATTACATTACTGCGACGTAGTCCTCTGACGTTGAAAATTTCAAACAGTAACGAGTAATTATTATTAATTAGGATTAATGTCATTATCGTAACAGTGGGAGATCCTATATCAACAACCCCCTCCCCCACCGCTGGTTGCCTTTTCTTTTCTTTTTTTTTTTTTTTGATAGACCCAAACAACCTATGCTTTTGACAATAGCGAATGATTTTTCAATTTTTAATGCGATGTACTCTAGGTATATGGCAGATTATACGTATTTTGAGATGATTAATAAATAATTTTCTGATCATTGGTTCTTTGTCAATCAAATTTTTTATCGAATACTCACCTCATCGACAATTCGAAAAAATCTCTACATTTTTGTTGAATCAAGTATTCTAAACATTATCTTCTAGGTGTTATACTCTGTTGAACTAATAGTACCTATATTAAGAGTACAAAACTAAAAAAAAAAAATGAAATTCCTTAAGTGGCCATAAAGACGCACAGTCCAATATTTCCAAATTATTTAAAACAACTAAAACCTGTACTAGGCAAATCAGTTTATCAGACATAAGTGACCAGTTCATGATATAGATACAGTCGGTATACACTAAGAGAGCATTTTCAATTTTTGTGTAATAAATAAAGAGTAACTATGTAGGAGTAAGTTTATTAATGTCATCTGACGTATTACTTTTAATAATCCAACAATATTTTTTTAGAATCGGCTCAATGGGTTAACACTGCTGTAGTTTTCATATAAAAAGTAGTTATTGATCTCGAAAATTTCTTACAAATTAAATTTTGACAAAATACAATATTCACGTGTAATTTGTAAACTATCGATTTTTCATCGAACGACTTCCTTACATTGTTATAATTAAAAAGCAGATAACCTGAGATATTTGAAATTTTCACCAAATAATACCATTAAATCCAAACATGATAAAATTTCGATTGTTTTTTCTATAAATAACAATAAAATTTATTTACTCAATCAAAAAAAAATGAAAATTGAATACAAGGTTCTTCGTAAGTCGTTCATATTGAAACAAAAAAAAAAAATTAAAAAATACACTAACCCCATTTCTTTTTAAGGTAGACATAGACATTGTAAGTTTAAATTTGAATGAAATCTGATATTTAAACAAAGAACATCAATTTTTAATAACTCAAAATTATTTTTAATTAAAGTTATAACTTTTATATCTATATATTATTATACTTCATATGCACAATGACATTTTCAAAATATTTAGACCAATTTTGACTATTTACAGTTTATACTGTATTACTTAGAGTAAAATTAATTACTATTTTTTTTATATAATAATAAACAGCAAAATATTTATATGATAATTAAGTGACGAATATCTGCAGTCTTCACCCAGAATCCTTTTTCCTATGTAAAGATCAATAAATTCAAATTTAACATAATATCCATTGCAATGATCTACTCAATGATGAGTTACCGAGTTACTTCTACTGTATAGCTGCTATCAATCATCCCCCTATTTAAAAATTATGTTGAAATTCTATTTACTAAAAATAAATAATTATAAAATATAGTGAAAATTAAATTATTTAAAATATTAAAAGGATTAAACGAAAATAGAAACCCTTTTTAAATTAAACTGGAACTTTTTTGAATAATGAAAGTGTACCATAGTCTATTTGGAATGAGATCGTACCTCGGCGACGACCAGTTTTTGTTTGCGACGGTCAGATGCTTTTCCCACCACGAAAGCTCGTAAGGCTAGCGCTGTGGAACAAAGCCACGCCCATGCGCAGAAATCGTCCGCCGAGGTACGATATCATTCCGAATAGACTATACTTTAAAATAAACCTCAACAAAAATATTTTTGTATGTACATATTATATATTCACACCAAATGCTTAGAAAGACAAGATAATTTATTTCAATGTTATTTAATAGATAAAAGTAAAATTTTACAATGACTAAAATTTTTTAATAATTTTTTTAAATTATATTGGACTATTAAAAAATAAAGTAGTTTTTCTTCTTTTACATTTATTAAAGTATTTTTTTTTATTATTATTATTTTACAATAATTGAACACAAAAAAAAAAATTCATATTACACAAAACACACATTCCTACACAAGTAGCTACTTATTAACATAGTGAATATAAAGTTGAACAAATTTACAAATAAAAGTCAATAATACACAATTTTATTCTGTCTAAAAACAAAATAATTAAAAGGGATATTAATTTTTTTAATAATCACTCAAGCCAAGTATAGTTCTCGAGTAACAGGAGTATACTGGTTCACATAAATATCTTAACATAGCTAACAAATTTTAAACATATAATATACCACCTGAGATAGTGAGATCACATGGAAACTCAGATTATCAAACAAAAATAAATTATTATACCTTAAAATATACAGAAAAATTATTGTTCAACATATCGTTTAGACAGCTAAGAATTAATATTTTGAAATTAATTTAATAATACGAACACAAACTTTGATAAAATAATTACAAGACTGTACATTTATGGTCAAACTAAATATTAATTTTCCTTAGAACTATTAAGTTGATGAAAAAAAAAACAAACATTTTTTGTGATTTTGAATGAACAAAAGTTAATATTATTAGTTATTACAATATTAAATAAATACATTTTGACATTTAAAATAAAATAAAAAAATTTTATAGGACGAAAAAACTGCAGGAACATTACTATCATAATATAATTTTAAAAAAAAATGTATTGAACAAAATCAGATAATTAATGTATGTTTAAAATATTAATTAAAAAGCTGTATTGCTTATAGATGAAAATAATTAATTAACAAATTTAAGTTTTTTAACAAACATATTAATTTTCTACAAAATAAGTAAAATTAATATTAGCTATAATTTATAACATGTTTACATTAATGAAAATAATTTAGGAAATAATTTTTTTTCATATAAAATGACTAATTTTTTCAAATTAAATAAATAATTAATTATGATATAAAACATATTTATAAAATATCAATTATTTTCTTATCTTTTTGATACTTAGCTAACCCACGTTTAGCTTGCAGTTTTAAACGGTTCATAAGATGTTCATCGTTACTGTATATAGCGTTAGGATCTATATAGCCAAATGTTCCATCGTTAAATTTAACCTGATACATACAATTACATTAATTTTAAATTATTGAAAAGTATAAACAATATAATAAATTATATTTACTAAATATGTAGGTTTATAATTCAATCCCAGGAATAAGCCTTTGTCACCAGAACTTAAATTTATTTCTTTGTTAATGGCTGGAAGATCATTTGCATTTTTCTAAAAAAAAAAAAAGTCAAATGATTTAAAAGTCTAACCTAAATGTATGCAAAATCAAATATGTTTGATGGCAAAAGAAATCATTTAATGCTTATTTAAGTGTCTTAATGTAAACTTGTTATTTAATATGAGAAGCGTTACTTAAAGATTTAAATAAAAATACAAAAATGAGACAAATAAAAATACCTTTATCTCTTTTAATGTAATACTGTCTGATATTGTACCATCATTAAATTTTACAACGCAAAAAGGAGTTTCATCAATTTTGACAATTTGACATTCAGAGATCCTATTATGTTTACAGTGCCTGGCCCAAATTTTTTGGTTTATATGAATTATCTTTTCCTAAAAATAAAAATATCAATCAATCAAATAAATTACATTAAAAATATGAAGTATTTCTTACTTTATTTGGAAAATTTAAGTGATCATTGCAATGGATCAAAATATGATCACTGTTTCTCTCAGTTCGGAAATCAAATCCAGTAAATATTCCGCAAGAAATATGAAACCAAGCATCGCAACTGCCTTCAGAACAACGAAAACAATTGCCAGAAGATAAATTGCATATTATACACTGTAAAATATTCAATTTATTTTAAATGTTGCAAAAACTATGTATACAATAAAATAAAACTTAATAAAGAACTTAAATTATACCTTTTGATCAATTATAGAGGCTGTCGTAAAAGTTTTGATAGTTAATGGATAACTGCCATGTACTAAAAGATGACATTCAGCATGTGACCATACATTGTTTTTAAATTGTTTCAGAACCCCACCTTTTAATGGACAGTATGCACAACGCTATACATAAATTTTAACAATTATTAAGATTTTATTATAAACAAGTCTAAATTACTTTTGATATTTTTTCTCTAAACAAGTTTTTTTTTTTTTTAAACTATTAAAAACAAAATAAAACTTAATATAACTAATGACAATAATAATAATAATAATAAATTTATAATGCAATTTTATAAATATTATAGATTATTTTTTCAATAAGTTGTTTGATAAAGAACATCAACATTCTATATTGAAGATTTTTCATGACAAAATTAATATAACTAATTAAATACATAAATATTATTTTTTGAAAACACGTAGAGTTTTATTAATTAATAGTTTTTACAATTACTTCTCTAATAAAACCATAGAGTACTTGTATTTATAAGTATAAACAATTTAGGAGACAACTTATTAATTTATAATAAACTTACAGCAACTATAGCATTTTTCATGCATCGATCACACAACCAATGTTTACTTGTGTCTACATTAATGCCATAACACACTTTATGAACAGTCAAATAACATTTTTCACATCTTATGAGGTCTGCCTTAAAAACTTTTTCACTGCCACAAAGTGCATGTTTAAATAACACTTTGCTAGGATTCTGCAAGTTGGGTAACTTTGGACGCATAAAAGATCTCGCTTTGATTTGCCAATCCAAGTTGAAAGTTAACTATTCAAACATTTAAAATATATTATGATTTTAAAATTTAGTTTATTAAAAACAATTTATATTTTTAAAAATTTTATTAATGCAATCAATAATCATATTTTATCATAACTTATGCCAAATCTATAAGCTCTAGTATTAACAAGTGATATAGTTAAGAAATAAATTTTTTATTACCTTTTTAGGATTAAACATCATACATAATGAACAATGGGGTTCATTCATACTTTTAAATACATTAAACAGTTGTTCAATCTCAAATGAGCAATGATTGTGTACCAAATCACTGATATTAGATATATCTGTGAATACAAATTCACATTTAAACATCAAATGTACATTTATAGATACTTATACTCTATTCAACAAAATAAGTAACCTTAATGTCCGACTTATACCTTTAAAACATAACAAGCATACAGATGGTTGACTCAATGGGGATGTTGCACTATTGCCTAATCGCCACCCAATAAAAACTAATAACAACTAAAGGTTGCTTCTTATGTTAAATAGAGTATAATAAAAAATATTTTAAATCTAAAATTAAATTATTAAAATAGAATAAATACAACAATAATATATTTAGTATTTATATTGTAACCAATAATACTAGAATATAATATATATAAGCATATAATGTACTTTAAATTTTAATATTCATTTCCATTAAAATAGTAAAATTTAATATTTACCAATTGTTATAAAATATAAGAAAATTAAATGAAACATACCTTCAATTCTATATTCTTCATTGTCTTTAATCTCTATAGGTTTAAGAGTTGGTTGATAAAATGTTGGTGTAGATTTTATATCTACTAATTGTAAATTTGCAGTTAAAAATCTTGATGGCATAAGAGGTTGATTTTTCGTATTTTTGTGGGTAGTTAAATTAGTAAGAGATGAATTTTGTGGCATTTCTGATTTAATTGGTAAAAATGGTTTTAATATAACAACATTTGAATTCCCATTATTATTAACACTGTCACTTTTTTTAGATAATAAACAATCATTCAAAGTACTGTTGAAAACTGTTGAATTTTTAATATTTCTTTTGAGATAATTATTCACCCGAGTTTCTTCTGTAATTCTTTTAATACCTATAGAATTAAGACTCGCAGAATTTATAGGTGATATACTTGTTAATTTTTTAATAGCATTATCATTTCCTTTGAAGCTAATGGTTGTTGAATCTATCTGATTAACTGTTTCATTAGGAGCAATACTTTTTTTCTCAGTCGATTTTGAAGTTTTACTTTTTTTAGATTTTGGTTTCTTTTTGGTTTCTCGTTTTTTAGACTTTCTTTTCTTGGCTCTTCTTCTTTCTGAACTATCACAATAATCACTATCACTTGTAAATTCTATATCTTCCAAGATTGTATGTTTTTTACTCAAAAGTCTAGATCTTCCATTATTATATGATACTTCAGTGACATCTAAAAATACCATTTAATTATAGGTAACTAGTAAAAGAATAAGATTTATGTAAATTTTACCAACCCATTTCGTTAGCTTTTAGCCATATATCTTCCATTACTTCTCTCTGTTCATCATTGAGTTCATCTTCATATTCCTTTACATCAAACTCTTGTACACTTGTTGACAAAGGTACCTCTACAGCTTTATTTTCATGTGTCATATCATAAGATGATTCAGAATCTGAGAGTTTATGAGTGACAGGATGACGTTTTCTACCAGCTTCAATATAAAGTTTTGGAACGCCTGTATTGCTATAGCGTTAAAAACCAGAATTAAAAATCTTTTAATTTTTGGATAATTGAAAATAACTTACTTCTTATTGCATAATAAGTCACAAGTACTAGGTAAGGGTGCTGCTATAGTACGATAAGGATCTTCTGGATGAGTGCCAACATCATTTCCTTGAAGCCATAATTCATATTTTTCAGGTTGTAAACGCTTAACAAATGTTTCCATACTGATCTTTACAGTATCTGGTCTGCAATGACATTGTGAAGCTCTTTTACCATACTCTACCCAACGAGGTGATGCAAAGTTTGTCGATTCAGCCATATTAAAGCCATGGTTAAAACCAGCATGATATCCAAAAGGGAAAGTTATCATAAATTCACCTTTTTCTTGTGTTATCTGTAAAAAATAATAATATTGATCATAGAACAATTTTAAGTATTGATAATTTAATTTAGAATTAATTAGAATTAGAATTGTTTTAGTATTTACTTTATTAAATGGTATGGAATATTGTTTTAACATATGAGGAGATATAACTGTCATTTTATGTCTAAGAAAAGCAGAGCATGCTGAAGCATCAGATTGAAAAAAGCCAGTAGCCAATCTTTCTAAGCGGCGACCATGTTCTGGGGGTATTGCATACCTTTAATAACATAAAATATATTCAATTTAAATTTTAAAATATTATAAAATTACAAAGGTATAATAATAAAATAGAAGAATAATCTTACCATGTCTTTGGTTCTCCTTCATGTATATAGTTTATACTGTATAAATCCATGTCTTCAGTATGCCATGCAAATGAGGTTTTCCACATACCAAAATAAAGATAAGCTGTATTTACACCTTCAATGCTAATACCATAATCTTCATTTACATAATCCAATATTGTGCCCAGTTTGTTAATATTCCAAACCTTAATTTAATTTAAAAAAAATATTTACTTTATTTAAATACACATTTAAGATAAAATTAATTATAAATTTAACGCATACATTAACATCTTTATCAGTAATAGATCCAGATACATCTGCACCATATAATGGGGATTTGTAAATAATATTTTTCCAATATTTTCTTTCAAGATCATCAAAATCAAAATGGATAGGTGTCTTATATTCATCAGACTCTGCCATTACTTTGTAATCTGCTACTGTCATAGGTTTTTTTTGTATATTAAGTTGTTGATAAAGACCTTGTTTACCTTGTACAACCTAAATCAATATAATAATTATTAGACATGGTTTTTTAAGCTAAGTTCTTAAATATATTACTTGACAGATAGGAGCTGGAATTTTTAAACTCATAATATCATTTTCGAAATAACTTTTTTTTCTTGGAATCCATTCAGGTGGTGGGATAACCTATAAGATTAATGTTACGTATTAAAAAAAAAAAGGTATAGTTATAACTAGAGCACGGATGTTGTTACATTTTCAACTTTTTTTCAATTTATTGTTAAGTAATATGTTTTATATATATGTGTGTCTTATAAGTATGAACTAAAATCTATAAGTTTTAAGTGAAATTTTTAAATTTTTATTGCAATTTAATTGAATTAACTTATTTATACAACTATTTTAGTTTTAATCGAACCTCAACCATTATATTATAGATAAGATTATACTGTAATATCATCAGCCATAACATCTGATAATGTTATCTTATAAAATAAAGACAATTTCAAGTTGGTAGAAATTTAATACAGCACAAAAATAATTTAAGAACTGTGACTACATAAAAATTATGCATTACAATGTTATAATCTGTTTTTCAGTCAGTCTGTGAATTTTGACCAATTGTGTTTTGTTATAATTTTGTAAATATGCTGAAAATTAAGCCAACTATTTGCACTGTTATAAAAAATTACATCTTATATTCTTGGTGAGAATGTATTTTCATGTGATGAATCTGTACTTTACTTTAAGTTATGTGAAACAAAAGTACTGAAAGGAGGTATACAGTTATACACAAAATTGAAATTGGTAATGACATTATTACGTATATGATGTATAATATAGTTGTAAAATGTATATACAGTAGAATTCATTTAAGACGCTTTCCAAAGGATCAAATAAAAATAACGTATTAAATGAGAAATCGTATTATGTGAGAAAACCAGAAAATTGACAAATAAAAATTGTAGCTACATAAAATTTTGAATTTTTTATTATAATTGCATTTATATTGTATTATCATTACAAACATGGTATATTAATACATAGGTACTTATTATTAAATTTTATTTTTGTTATTTCAAATTTCACATTATCTATAATTTACATTTCCATACATAGATACCTATAAATTATATACTTTATATTACATTAATAAAATTATCAATTTTTGTTTGTTTTACATTTTTAATATTTTTTGAATAGAGGAAGTTTTCAATTTTACTAAAATTTTGTAGTGTTTCATCTACATTGTCAGAGATGCAATTAATCTTCTTAGTTTATGTATATAATCAAGTGTATTTGTTGCTTTTTGTGGGGAGATAACGAGTGATTAGTAGTGTATATTAAAAGCTCATTCTTATTGTATGGTATGTAAACATCATAGTGTATACTAAGTTGCAGCGCCTTATTGAATCAATAATCATATTGTACATTATTGTAATTATTAATTTTATACTACATAGCATTATTGACAATTGACATAGAGCGCCTTATCCAGGAATACAAAGCGTATTGTTCGGATTCATTTACATGTTAACCGCTATCAAAATCAAGGAACTCGTGAAAATGAGCGTATTACGCAAGAAATTGTATTATGCAAGAGCATCTTAAACAGATATTAGTGTATATATATATTTATTTTTTTTGTGAAATTTTAGATTTTTAAGTAAATTTTAAAAATTTATAACAAAACGTTGTTTTTTAGTGTAAAACTGCAATCAACTTAACTAGTTTTTTAGCACTACAACATTTGTGCCCTAGTCATAACAATAAATTTGAAATTTTTATAAAAAGTTGTATTTTTAATAATAACATACTTTTGCCACACCAGCTTTGTGTGCTCCTTGTGACTCCATAAATTCAATGTAGCTACTAAAATTTTGAAATTCACTCCATGTTGGTCTGAAAACCATGATTCTAGGTGTATTTTTATTTGAACACATCTTACCTAAAATTATAAATAAAATGTTATTAATATCATTATGTTGCAGGTATAACTAAATTTTCACTCTGAAATGTTTCAACGATGACAATAACTGGGTGCAACACGATTGCGAATGTTTTACCTTTTTTATAACATGATTACAAATGAATGTCGCTTATCAAAAAATTTGTTTTTTTTTTAGCCAAAAAACGAACGATTGTGAACAATTTTCTAGGCTACATTGCCAATTTCATAATTTCTGAATGTTTAATTTTGTTTGGGAATTTAATTAAAAATTTTTTTTTTTTTTAATAAAGACTATTTGATATTAATAATATAATATTAAATTATTGCTACGTTACAAACTAAAATAAAATTATATAAAATAATATGAAGTGTTTAAAATGTTGAATAATTAAAATAATTTCATAGTATAAATATTAATACTGTCATATGATGCATAAACTGAAAAAAAAATTAAAAAATAATAGTTTTTAAAATCTTTTTCTTTTTAAAATTTTTTCTTAGTTAGGAGTTTCCAGTTTTTTGTAAATATAAAATTAGATCCTTGTGAATTTTATAAATTATAATCGTTATAATTTTTTAATGTTGATTCAATTTTAGTTTTATATTTTTTGGCCATAGATTTATGTAAATTGTTTTGATAGCTTATTAGCAGAAAATCCTTATACCTACTATTTAATTATTTAAAAATTTGTAATTGACTAACAATTAATCTGACAACACCGCACGATTAAAGGTAAGTTAAAATGTTCACAATCGTGTTACAAAAAAGGTCTGTTCGCAATCGTTCCATTTGCAATAATATATCACTCACAATAACTATGTTATTATGTTTTAAATATCTTATGGGAAATAACAATAAAAAACTTATTTATTACTAAATAAAATATAAAGTTTTATTTAATTGTTTTTAAACGCTTTAAAAAGATATTTTCCAATTATTTATGATTGACTGTTAATTGGTAATAAAAAAAAAGGAATCAAAAAGTTTGTTTTAAAAACAGTTAAGCAAAAAGTACAGATTCAGTTTTTAAAGTCGGACAAAAAGTCAGAAAATACAATATTATGTAAATAACAAATATTTATTTTAAAAATGTTTGTACACAAACTATATTATTATATATTTTTTTATATTTTCTTATTCTTATTATTTCACATAGTCATTTGACAATTTGGAAGCTGAATATTAAACTTCAAGAGGAAGTGGAAGTAGATAACATAGGACCCGAAAGTATAAAATTACAATATTTATATACTAAAATATCTAACAATGAGTTGACAATTAAAGAATTGTCAAGGAAATGTAATTTATATTAATATTTTTAAATATGTGTATATGGGTAACTATAAAAATTAATAATAAATAAAAAATTTAATAGAATATTTTTTAATTTTGGATTTTTTGTTCAACTTTTTTTTTAAAACAGACTTATTGACTGATTACCAAAAAAAGATAAGCAAACTTTAAAGTTACATCTTTATAAATAAGCAGATAATTGGAAAAATGTAGTGTTAATTATTGTTATAATATTTTTTATAAAAAAACATTTTATTTTATATTTAATTTAGCTTTTATTGTTGCATATAAAATCAAATTATAAGAGTCAATCTCAAATCCTATTTTTGTTAAGTAAAATCATATTTCACTACCTATCAGATTAATAAACATAAAACACACTTAAAAACTTACAATTTTATGTAGATGTAGGTATTGGAGTATAAATATGCACTTATGTGCTATACATCAACTATATTCTATATTCTTTCAACCAGTCCAATGGTGATACAGACTCATTGGTCAATCGAAATATCTGGTCAAAATGTTAGTTGTTTGATAATTTGGCAGCACACAAACGTGTCGATCAATGATGGACGGCCATAAAAAATGGAAAATTGACTAGATCTATTGCGGTTCCGATGGTTTTAATTTTTATCATCAACAAACAGATTTACGGTGATGACAGCGAAGATTTTTATGTCTCCAAGGCAAAGACTGTTACCACTAATACTTGCTATGATTTCATACTTAACTTTTAACATAGAACTTACAAGTTTCCAACAGAATACAACGAGATGATCACCATACACATATCATGTATAATAATTAATAATAAACTACATCATACTGCTCAGTACTCATACTAGATTAAAGACCCATAAAGGTATATCTATACAGATCGTAAACTTTATTATTGTTGTTGTTGCCTAACGCCATTACCAAAACACTGGAAATCTCGTAGACCACAATCGACGTATTCGCGCCGGTGCGAAACGTTTGACGACCGGATCCCATCACGGTACCCGCTTATCAGTCTTTATATCGCTGCCGCAAAATATTATTGTTGATCTCTGTAGGCTGATGTTTATCTTATATTATTATTTCTTTAATATTATTATTGACGTAATATATTAATAATTAATATAATATGCTATTCTAACTCGATGAGTACCTATAACCAGCAAGCTATCATAGGCATCTGGTGAACGGAAACGGAACCCTTTATCAACGGTTCGCACCGGAGTCAAAGGTATCAAAATTCAGGCTATTTAACTCATCATATCACAAACGGTAACCAATGGTTGTTGGTCGGCGACACTGATTTGCCCACAAAAAAATGATTAAGAACAGTATTACTGATAATACAGTTTGTGTCCAAACAATATTATTGTTTTTTTTTTTTACTTGTTAATATATTATTTTATTTTTTATCACAGTATTTACACAGATTAAAGGTCGTAGACCTAGTATGTAGTTTTAGACGTTTTATTGGGTTTTAGTTTAATTTTATTTCGAATCTTTTTTTTTATCATTGTTTAATCTTAATTTTTCGAAAACTATTTATTTCCGTACGTCATTTTTAGTAACCTTATTATTTATATTTATTATTTTTTCGTGGGTTTATTGTTCCTCTAGTGCTGACATATCAATAATTATAGAAATTTGTTAAAGACCATTATATAATGGTTCAGTGCAATATCTATCTGATCTGGATGTCGAAGTAAGAAAATTTTCTTGTTAATATTTTATAACCAATAATAATACTTAATTTTATTTTTAACTAAATATAAATAAAACAAAACATTTTTAATCCTTTTTTCATGATAAACTCAAGGCAGTTTTAATTATAAATAGGTAACTAGATACTTTACATATTTTATTGCTTTTCATCAATGTAATGTTTTTATACCCTTTAATATTTGAACATTAAAGTGGGTATAAAAGTATTATTTGATTTTTAATTAATTATGGTTTATAAATAATGTTATTACTAACTATACCTACCTTTTTAGTATACCTATAGTTTTAATACTATTTAAATTAAAATAAATATTTTTGCAGTATGTCATAGGTAATAAAAATTCTAAGCAATTGTGTAAACACTAAATTGGTCATTTAAATATTCAATAGTTGAATTTATAAATACCTAATATTAATGTATACCTAGTTGATGACAGGAAATAGGTGCAGTTAGTATAACTAAATTTGTTTTGAGCAATAATTGTTATAACATTTTACAAATGTGATGTGATAAAATAATTTAACAAGAACCATAAAATATTTATAATTTGTATTATTCATTTTATTGATTTACTTAAAATTAATTTAAAATATCCACTATCTGTTCACTTTTTTTGTATTTGAAGATTACATCAGTGTTCAAATTAAATCAGATTAATGATTTTGTTGATTGGTGATACTAATGTTTCACAATGTGTATGTATAGACTTTATAGCATTATAATAAATAGATATAAAAAAATTTTGAAAGTGTTTCCTGCCTTTCACTCTCTCATTCGTTATAAATTTTATCAACTGTTTCCATCCTTCCCCCCCTCATATACACACACACAGCCAAAAATTTAAAACTTCTAATATTACATAAATAAATTCATTTTTTTATTTAATGAATATAAAAGTCATAATTTTTTTATCATATTAATTTTTATCAAAAAAAATTGTCAAATGTCCTAAAAATTTAAAATTTACTATTATTAATATTAAGTATAAATAGAACATTAAATATATAGCAATTTTAACTTGACTTAATTTGTTTATTTTAGTAAGATAGCTTTCAGACACTAAATAATTAAAAATATCCTAACTTGAAAAATTTCACAAAACTTTTCCCTGCAGATTTAAATAGTTAAAATAATTACTGAAATACAGTAGAACCTCGATTATCCGGGGTAATGATGGGGAGAGGGTCACACGGATAAATGAAAATCACGGTTAATCGAGACTTTTTATAATAATGAAATTTTAAAAATTTTGATTCAATTGTAATTAGAAATATACATAAGAAGACGTATACATACAATAATGTTATACATACGTCCTACATCCATAATATTGTATACCTACAACAAGTTATTAGGGCTTAAAATATGAAGTTATCGTCAAAAATGTCATTAATACGATTGTCGATATCGAGTATTATGTTTAAAAATGTTCGGAAGAATGGGCACGGTTAATCGCAAACACGGATAATCGAGGTTCTACTGTAATAAAATAATAATGGAATTTACAATAGTATCTAAAAATATTTATATATTGTTTCCGTAAGAAATGTATATGAGGAAATTTCCAATTCTGCTAAAAATCCCATAAAGGAATGCCCCATATATTTATTTAAATAATGTTCACCATAAACAATTTCAACTAAAAACCTTCAGTAATTAGTAATTACTCATTTTAATTATAATTTTAGTAATACAGAAAACTTTAGGATCATAAACTATAATACTTTAGCAACCATTTACGCGCTTCTTCCTGTGTGAACATATATATTTTTAATACAATTAAATCATAACTACTTAATTTTATTTTTAATAATGAATTATTAAAATTGAATAAACCATATACATTGTCTAAGCTTTAATATTAATTTATTATTTATAAAATATTTTATGTTACTATTCTAAAAAACATTCAGTTAATAATATCTATTGAAATGTATAGCTACTAGTTAATAACCAGTTTTTTAAGATAATATGATAATTTTACCATATGTCATAACATATTTTAATTAACTTTGAACCTAAATATGATATACAATTTTAACCTATTACACTTTTTTGAAGTTATTAAACCTACTTTAGAATTCATAATAATTTTTTGAAAAATTTAACTTACCATTATTGTTTAATGAAAAATGTACCTGATTTTTTAACAATATGAATTAAAGATATGTCTAAATTAAGAAATATATATTAGATAATTAATACGTATATTAAACATAGTTATATAACAAACATTATTATTACATTATGCATACATCATACTCTATTCAGTACTCAATTAGTCACTGGCACTAAATAAAACTTATAAATATATTATACTTGTATTAATTATGAACATTGTAAATTTTATAATTCAGTTTGTAGGTATACATGACTTTTTTTAAACTATAGTAAATTTAGAATAAGTATACACTTAATATATTTTTGTGATTTCAAAAAAAAAATAATATTTATGTTTCATTAGTTCCTTTTACAACTATTATTTAATTACTATGATTTCTAGTTTTAGTTTACTGTTAAAAATTATTTAAGAATATGAAAATATTTCTGACATTTCATTAATTAACTGTCAATTAGTGTTGTGTACTAGTAGCTATATATATAAAAAAAATTATTCTAAATTTACCAAATCACAAAGTACCTATTTAATGGTATTATTATTTCATTAATATCTCAAAATACATTTCACAATTATAATTACTTTTTTCAATAAATTAAATTTTAGTTAAATGTCTGATACAGTAATCCTCTTTTTTAAATAAACTTCAATGAAGAAAATTATATTATACTGTTAAAAAAATTGGCACAATAAGCATCTTGACTATTAGTGGGGTCATCTAAAATGGATTTTTCTATAATACTTTTTTTTTAAAAATTATGTAATATTTTAGTAACCAATAAACTAATCATAATTTTAAAATATTAAATTATTAAACTTATCATTAAAAACCATATCTACTGTTTTTATTTTTATTTTTTTTTAAATGTATTTATAGTAAGTTTATTACAAGCCATCACTTATGAGTTATAAAGATTAAACTTAAACATAAAGTTATATTTTATAAGCTTATCAGCTTGTCATGTATTCCATGATCATCTTATAAAATGCACAATCTACCTTCTCTACCTGTATCAATCCATCAAACAATTATAATTTGTTTATAAGTTACTGATGTGAATTAATGATTCTAACATTTTAAAACAAATAAATATCAAAAAAATAATATAATGGATAGTTTTCAATAAATATTTTGAATAATATCCTCTTAAAAAATGTGAAATGAATGAAAAAAAAGTCTGTGTATAATAATAATTACATTGTATGTAATAAATATATTATTATTTATTATATTTATATTTTTACCTAAAGTTATAGATATTGTATAATTTGTCTGTTTTCATGAATTTTTATGCTTTATTGATGTTTAGAAGCAACTCGGACTGCAACCAGTTTTTGTTAGTAGTGCACAATTCACACATATAACTATTTCCTCTACTTTATCAATATCCAATAATTAACACAAAACGATACCATGCCCATGTAAAAATTGGCTGTTTAAGTCAGTTTAAAATGTGAATGGAGTATAGTGGCTTGCAAAAAGTTAACTAAAGCTATACAAATATATACTGTTAATTTGATAAAATATAAAAATAATAAAAATTTAGAAACCCTAGCAACCAATTTTCCCTTTTCTTAAATTACTTATCTTTTATGATATAAATTAAAAACAATAAACATAATATATTATTATCTAATATAAGTAATATAGATACTGTGATTTGTTTTGACATTTCCTTTTTGTTTATAAGAAATATTAAATTAATTTTTCATTTTATATTATAGTATTCAATACAATATAACTATTATGCAAGTATGTTTTTCATAGTTAATGCTGTTGTTTAGTTAATTATGGTATTATATTTTAAATATATTTAATTAATAGTTTGATTTGGAGTCGAAGATTAACAACTACACTGTACGTATATGAGGTAAGTAATTTAATTATATATTAATTTATCAACTTATTAATACATTTTAGAAATATATCTATCTAATTTAGTTAATATTTTATATATAGTTATGAGTTAAGAAATTTGACCTCGATAAATAAATACTAAAATATAAATACATAAGTTTATTTCTTTTTTTTTATATTTATCTTTTTTTCAAACATGCTATTGTTCATTAAACTTTTTAAAATAAATTTTAAATTCTCTTGCATATATCAAGTTTAAAAATTGTGTATAATATGAAGAATTAAAAATCAAACTTTTCTAAAATGTAGTTATTTTTAACCCGTTTATTTATAATTTTATAAGGTATCTAATTGTTGAAATTAAATATTATTAAATATCTTTGAACTTCAGGAACGAGTTTATTTTGGGTTAATTTCATCATTTTTTATTGTCTTCAAATATTACGAATGGTGTATGCTAAAAATATTTTCTTACTGTATAATTAATAAAAACATTAATTTGGTTTTAAAAAATGATTTTATTGATATGATCAAATTTTCAAAGTACTTAATTACTTAAATTTTATTTTAAAAATATTAAATTATTTTCTTTTTAATAAGCTTGATAAAATGTACAATGTAATCTTATGAAAATATAATGTTAACATTATAACTATAGTAGGTACATAATTTCTGTCATTCTCAGTTATATATTTGTTTCTATCCTAATACGTGTGCATATGAGCTCAATGTCAAATATTACTGCCATATAGGTGATGTGATAGTAGAAGGGGTTTTTAACGATATTGGTATGGACAAGACAGAATAACCATGAATGCCGCAGTGTTGTTTTAGCGGTCGACCTCATTGGTGGTATTTTACTACCTATATTTTACGTGTGTAGTAAAGCCTATTAAAATTTGTTTCCCCAGAGAAAGTTAAATTAATATACATATTGGTGAGAGTGTTCTTCTAGTCAATTACAAGAGTTTTGGTAAGATTCGACATATTTATAGACTCATTTTACTATATTATTATGTATTTTGATATAAGGAGCCAAAAAATAATATCATGTATACGATAGCCGACAGATATCTAATATTCATTATTATATCGGTCTTTAAGATTTAATAATTTAGGTCATAAAATCATAAATCATTTTATTATTTGTACGATATTATCAATTTATAATGCAACAATCGTATTTTATATATTATAAATCTATTAGATCAATAATTTTACCATAGTAGTGGAGCAATAAAGGTAGTAGAATACGCCGATCGTTTATTCAGCTGATTATATAACTATCCTAAAAAAATTCTACATGAAATATAATTATTTTTTTACCATTCGAATATGAGCAGAGCTTAAAGTGTATACATTCAATTTAAATTTGTTTTTATGGCATAAGGTATAATATTATTCGTTTTAAAATAATTAATATTTTACTAATTAATTTTAAGTTGTATAAGTTAATATAAAGATTATGTTTTGAGCATGAAATAAAAATAATTTATATATTAGATAGTATAATAAGGGTAAGAAAAGAAAATTTATTTTTAACATTATTAGTCCTTATGACCTAAATATCATTATAAATATTTATATTATTTTTGTGTAATATTTTCTCAATTAATCTTAATTAATACTATTAAATTTTTATAACGAAATCATGAATTTTAACATTAATCATTTGAAATATGATTTTACAATGTGTGTACCAAATTAATTTTATTAGTCTATAAAACTGTAATTCTAATTTACGTATATTAAGTAAATTCATTCATAAAAGGTTTTAGTATGCATTGTAAATGACCTTAATGAAATATTATTATAATAACGTTGATTGGGGGGCACTTCGACGGGTTAAAATTTTGTTTTCATTTAATATATTACACCATTACCAATTTGACATTGGTTCATAACTGAATTTAAATTATATTTAATTATTATCATATGTTTATAATATTATTGAATTTACTGTGATTTCGTTTGTTTTAAATGACAAATCAATAACGATGGTGCAATTTATATGGAATTACAATAATTTGAAATTATAATATGGTTCGTATATAGGTAATAGGTATCTATCCTATATAATATATAATTTGAGAATTTATATTTTATATTGTTAGGTTAAAAGTTGGTTTTTATAAATTTTAAACATAATAGGCAATCTTATTATAAACTATTAAAATGCAAAAATTAAATTCTCTATTATTTTAAATATTAATATAAATATAATTTATTTTGCATACTTACGAAGTATAAACTATAATTTGCATTTGCATTTGCTAATAATCAAGCCATATATCATTTTTTTTTTCTGCAATATTAATTGTAAGTAAATTACATCAATAAAATATATGTTATGATAAAGTAAATGATTTAGTAGATTAATAAACATATGCTGCATATTAAATAATAATTAATAACTTACAAAGTATTACGTCATATTTATTTATATTGTATGTAGTTAAAATTATAATATTTTATTGATTGTAAACTGTAGTTTTATTTTTCATCAATAATACTGCATATTTTATTTAATTATTTAAATGAATAATAAAACTACTTTTGATAAATACTTATGGTTTTTATATTATTATTAAAAATACCAGTTTTTCATCAGATTAAACAATAATGAAACATGATAAAAAAAAAAAAAATTAAAACCAATGAAATGTCAACCATCTCTTTATATAACCATATTATATGATAATAAAAATAAAGATAAAATTAAATTTAAATAATCATATAGATAATATTAAATTAAAATAATAATGTTTTCAATAAATTTTGAGAAAAATTATAAATTATAAAGTAAAGCATAATTCAATCTTAAAAAAATAAATAATTAATCTTTTTTAGTTGTTCAACCTATATTTTTATTCTTCAATTACTATTTTAGACATTTTATTTTTTCCTTGAATTTCCGGTTTGTTTTGATTTTCAAGGTTAAAATAGTTTAACTTCACTGTTCAATAGAAATTGTGAAGTTACATTAACTAATTACGTCTGTTCGTATGTGTAAATTAAAAAAAAAGGGAGAGATAATAAAATAGGTCTCTGTAATATGTATTTGTATTGTGTGTAAATTACGTCACTTTCATAATTTAAGTTAATTTAATTCTCACAAACTATATTTAAATCTAACTTTACTATACTACATTTGATGAAATAACAAAATATATTGTATTTTCCAGACCACTATAAATTATGCCGGTGCCAAATGAAAAAATCAAGACAATTAGTCATAAAAAACAAAGACGATGGTCACTAATTGGAATTTTATCAAAAAAAAAGAAATTGAAAAAAAGTCAAGAAAGTGTGGACTTTTGTCCATATGATGGAAAAATAAATCAAAAAGTGGCACGCAATGACCACTTAGAACGTTCTACTGACTGTCTTATCGAGCAATACACTTGTAGTCCTAGACTAATAAGAAGATGTAATTCATTACAGTACACAAATTGCATGTCCACGTATGAAGATACTAACAATCAATCAAATAAAAATGAATGGAAAACATCACAGCAATCCGTGTATAGCTCTAGTTCAAGTGCTTGTTATAGTGATATTGGTGTGTATAGAAGTTGTGGAAATAGTAACCAATTGTCGAATTATATTAAAGAAGAAAAAGAACAGACATCTTCATTCTTAAAAAATGTACCGTTAAGGTGTTCATCTGAAATCGGATATCACCAATATAAAACTAACTATAGTAAAAAACCTAAATTTTCCGTAAATCAAAACAAATTAATTGGTAAAAAAATTCCACCTCCTCCTCCGCCCAGAGATCCTAATATTACAACAGTTTATTATTTTAGAAATAATAGACTCATGTCTCGAGAATCAGATTCGTCGTATTTTTCACAATGTTCTAATGATGATATTCCGGATAAAGTCAAGACTGATGAGAAGGAATGTCGAAATGAGTATTGTACCAAAGAACCACCAAGGAGTAGACGACCCATTCAAATCTGTGACGTTGAGACCTTATCAACAGAATCTAAAAATCCAATACCAAAAATGCAAACCGTTGAAGAATCTATTCAAGAACTGGAAGATATGTATAACAGTTTAGGATTAAGTGACGAGGATCTACTAGACAGAGCTGAACGACGTGACCTCCCTACAGTTCACCAAAACATGCGATACCAGAGTTACGACGAGCTGGACTGTATAACTGTTAATAGAGTTTTGCCCAAAACCCGACGATCCGGTGTACCAGATATTATATCCGATGATATGGCTTACAGAAGACTGAATAAAAAAGAATCAAAACGGCAAAGTTTTGTTCCAGGAAGTTTTCTCTTAGTTCTACCGACGGTTTATAATCTTGATAAAACACCTAAATCGTCATCTGGAGAGCCTGATATAACACTCGATGACGTTGTTTTTAGAAGCCAACGACAACATCTCAATTTCCTTAAGATTTCTGATCCCCAACCACCGTTTGGAATACCTCTAGGTCCTATCGTGGGCGCCGCTCCTACTGATTATTTACATGCAGTACCTGAAGGTCGATATAAACCTTCGTTCCACCCTAGAAAAATACCGGACACTGTCGAAGATGATTTGGCATTTCGTTCTCTTAGAAAAGATTATAAGTTTAAAACTTGTATTGATTTTTCGTTCATTCATAGAAATAGATTCAGAATCGACGATCTGATTCCAAAATTTGATAATAATAGAATAAAAAATGATACACATTGGATTATAAAAAAGAGACCATCTGATTACAACTGTTATGAAAAAAACCAAATAAAACTTTCATATGACAATTTAGCCAATTCTATCACGTCTGATAACCAAAAGAACTTGATGGTAGTCAAAATAAATCATCATAAACCAATTATGCTGACAGGATTTACTGTTAACGAAGCCAATCATTTAAGTAAGTCTCTATTTTGCACGAACTTATTACAGCATGAGTCTCATAATTTATATTTAACGAATGACACTTGTATTACAAACGATGCACCGTTGCTAAAATTAAAATTGATTTATCCATTATCGAACGCTTTAAACAAACGGAACGTAAACCGATCATTGCCCGTTGCTCAAACGTGCTCTAAAAATCATCACACTGCAAATTATGCTTCTAAGCGTCAAAAATATATAGAAAAAAAAACTCCTAACACGTTCGTGCAAACCAAAAACGTTGACAATAAAAATCAACCAAATTTCAGAGAGCTCATCAAACGAGAGTACGCTCATAGGTATCTGCGATCGACTGATAACCAATCAAATGATGATTATGAGGTAGTAAGCAATAAACGCGTGAGAGATGAAAATATCAAACATCGATTTCTAAAATATAACCAAGACGAAAATACTTGTTCCTGTACCTCAGCTGAAAAACCGGAAAATATACTCTCCATTGTCGCCGCCGAGCCGAATATCGATTACACATATATCCGCAGCGACGAACCTACATCATTGTCATCCGTTACCTCTTCTGCAAGTAAATCCAAAAACCCAACTGAGACTTCTAATAATGAACAACCTATTAATGATTTGTCATCATCGTCATCATCCCTATCGACCGCTAATGTGCCGTCAACGAAGCATCCAAACTGTATGCCCAGTTATCTGGAGGTGTGCTTATACATCACTGTATATGTTTATCAATTATTTAGTGTAAACGCGTACAGCACTTTTATAGCGTTGATCTTTCTCATAGCTTTACATCTGTGTAGACGCCTTTCGTGAAGTTATAATACGCTCTTGTACTTAAATAATTGTTGTTGAATAATATTTAAGCTTTTTGTCGCTTTTTTATTTATTTATTTACTACCATAAATATTATTATTATTATTATTATTATTATTACTATTACTATTTATTTATTATACCTATATAGGTGTTAGGAGTAAACCAAATATTTTAGTGTACGTGCGGTATGTTTAGTCAGTTTCGTAATAAAATAACACAATGTACACACTCAGAGAAAATAAAAACCTGCACAACGTATATTAAATATTATTATTATTATTATTATTACACAGTTTGATTATTTTCCTTATCCCTCTCCCTCTCATAATATTTATATCTCGTTCACTCTCCGCCTGTACAAATTAGTCTGTGCAGACTGTTGTAAAATATTATATCTATAATACTACCTTTTTTGTAATAATTTATGTATTCAGCCAAATAATAATAATAATAAAAAAAAAGAAAAAACGTATTGAATTTCAAAAATATAATGACTGAGAATTAACACACACGGGTACGGTTTATGTATAGTTATATTCTATGGTATATGATAATTAAATTTAATCTTGACCCACCAAATAAAGTAACACGAACAGTTTACAATGAAAACAAACTACAAAGGTGTGTCATTTTGTAAAAATAATTATAATAATAATTTTATTTAAAACATTTAAACACTAAGAGCAATTATTAAACTCATTTTTTTCATATATCATATATATATTTATATCGAAGCAAATAAATGTCTACTATATCGACCATATTATTATCACAGTTATTTTTTATTTTACCTATATTTGAATTATATTGTGCTAGTAACATAGTTAACAGTCAAGTTTTAAAAATTAAGTCATTAATCTAGTGTTCTTTTTGCAAATCGAATACATAAAACATTAAATCGTCGAACGAGATACTTAACTTTCTTATTTTGTTCACTTTGACAATTGATTAGTGACAACTTTCTCTAAATTGAATTCTCGAATTCTCCACCGTATATATATGTATAGATTTTTGCCCTGGAGATACATGCAACTTGCTTTTTCTCTCTGTTATACCTACCTGCTTATGTACACTGTCTATAAGAGTATATAGTAGATATGTATAAACTAATATTATTAAAATTTGTTTCCCCTTGGGCTCTAAGGTATAGACATATGTAGTGAAAAGCCTAAATATCGTGTTTAACAACGCAACGCACATACTATTATTATACCTACCTATTTTATATTAGTTCAAACACTAATCACACATTTTATGTATTGTCGAGCACATGCCTATAAAAAAAAAATTTCCTAAATCATAAAATGACTAATTGTATTTTGTTACTAATATTTATACGTGTTATAACCTACTTATATGCACCAATATATTATATTATCAATTTTAAATGAGTACATGATTGTTTTTTCAGGACGATTGGAATGTAACTTAACATTTATAATCAGAAAAACTCCAACGTATTATGATGTAAGTTAATTTAAATTCATTACACACAAAATGCTCCTTATAGGTTTAAAATTCATTTTTACAGTTATAATGGATTTATCGTATTATATCTTATATATTTTATTTATACTACCTATTCTACATTGCTATAATGTTTTTTATTTTTTATTTTTTAATGTTATAATACTGTGTATTAGTATTTTAAATCTTATCCGTTTAATAGAACTTACAATAATAGTTTGGTACTTATTTTCATATTTATACGTAGTATAATAATAAGTTATTCTAAAATGACCATAATGCGTAAGTAGTTCGACAATAAAATTCAAATAAATATAGTGTAAAGATTTTTAATTTAATTTTAACGATTTAATAAATTAGTTGAATAAAATTAAACATTGATTTAAATTTAAATTAATTTAATATAATATATTAATCAGATGATGTAATGCATGTAGTTTGAGATGAACGATTATTTTTCTATTTAAATTTTGTCAGTTCAGATGAAAGGTTGAACATCTGTGACGTAGTATAAAGTTATAAATATTTAAGTAGGTATCTAATAACTTGATCTATAAAAAAAAAAAAATATTTTTTTTTTAAGTAAAAAACGACTCGATAAATGCTAGTAGTACCTTTAATGAGAACATCATGCGGTAACATGGTAATACTTAAATCATTAATTTTATCATTTTTATATACTGAAATCATTAAGTTTATCATTTTTATATACTGAAATCATTAAATTTATCATTTATATATATATAAGCATTTAGGTGTTGTTCAGTATTATTACTATCAGTATTAATTACATTATCATTTTTTTTTTTTTTTTTTTTTAATGTATGTTGTATTTTACTAGGTATTAATTATGATAACAGCAACACCAACATAAATATTAGCATTCTTTTTATTTTATTTTACACCGTAAACCCCTGAGTATTTTTACTTGAAATTCAAACTAATCCATTAAAAGAAAAAAAATTAGAACTCAAAATTAAAATTAAAATGTTTGCTTATGTTATTTTATTTGTTTTACACAAAAAAAATTTTTTCAGTTCATACATAAAATAATTAATATGTTTGTTTATATAATTAATAATTACATAACAAAATACATTATACATATTAAATTATGATAAAATACTAAATACTATTAAGAATATTATATTATACAATATACATATGTTGGACTTGTGAGTCATAATTTAAAAGTTACAACTATGATTGTCAAATATTGTTTTGTATTTTAAATTTAAAGACAATACAAACTATGTTGACATCAATCAGTGAGTCGATAATTCTAGAAAGTATAATACATTTGATTTTCTAACACAGATTAAATCTAATTATGGTTTAATCATTAAATATATCATACTGTGAAGCTATTATCTGTGTAAAAAATTTTTATTTTAAGGCTTTTAATAACTATATCATCTGTATAGTTTTGTGAAAAACAGTAAAAATTATATAATATTTTTTTTTCAAATCTATAGTCTGTACTTATTTACTTGAATTTATAGAATAACAAACTACTTTTAAGTTGATGTTTTGAACAATATTTCAAAGATTATAATAATAATGTATTGTCAAATCACAACTTCAGTAAGAAGATTAAAATAATATGTATTTTAAATTATAATATATTTTATAATAATATTATAATACAGATTACTTGATTAATCGTGTAGATGTATAAAGATGCTGAGGATATCATAAAATTCGACAAAACCGTGTATTTTAAAATTATTTTACCGTAATAAGTAATAATAACAATAAAGCTAAAAATGTTTTAATCAAATTTTCAATTGTTGTGACGAAATACTATTGAACCGTGCTAGGTAATGTTTACGATATTTTCTTTGTTTTCCACGAAGCTAGTCTATATCGTCAGATTTCACTAAAACCATTGAGCGTGTAATAGACCAAAGCTGGAAAACGCTATAGATACCTTTCATTAATGCTAAAATGACGGTAAATCATTCGATTGTGAAGGTCTATAAATACTGGAGGGGATCTGTTACTCTCAAACCATGTAAGGTTGCATTACGACTGTTAGGAAAGATGTTATTCATTAATTCACGCACTTCGGTCCAGCTCGACTAGTTGTTATTACGCGATGTAACAAACATAATAATAGTGATACATACATAGTGAATTCATACTATATTGTTGCTATTTTTTTTCAGCTCAAAATGCCCTAATTATTTATCAAACTCGTATGTAAGTAACAATCATTTTTATTCGTTCGAACACAATATTATTCCATTGAGCTTGCCTAATCGAATTTCAAATATCAATCATTTTAATAATCATCACTGTAGCAGTATGGACCACAGTCACCAACCTCATTATATTCGCCATCAACCAAATAGTTCCAAATCTATTTTGAAACGGAAATCTCTTGAAATAATGCCTGCCGACGAAGACAGTCCGACGCACCTAATAAAGTCGGACAACGACGCCGACTCTCGAGTACAACAATGTTCCTTGAAAACTTTCAACCTCAAGTCATCATTCTGCAGACAGGGCATTCTAAAAAAACAGTCGGCTAGTTTTGACGACGAGTCGACACAGAAACCCATCTTGAAAAACCGCTGTCAGTCTTGTGATGATGAAACATTGCTCGGCAATAATTTTAGCGAACTCCATTCGATTTTAAAACGGAAAACGAGCGAACCGTCGCCAGAACCGCCATCACATGGCATACTGAAGAGGCGTGGTGAACGTGACGTCCGCCCACCACGGGATCGCTGTCAAGCGGCGGTGGTAGATGAATTGAACAGAGACTGTCCCAAGCCAATTTTGAAGAAGATTTTGTCGGCGGCGGTGGTGGTGGACGATAAAAAACCGATCTTGAAGTCTCCACCAAAGACTGACGGTCTGACCAAGTGCGATTCGTCGTCCAAACGACCATCAGTTGCCCAAAGGATATCCGACCTGGAGTCTGGGGTCGTCAGAGACAATCCTGGAAGCACCCATGACTGTAGACTGCAGCATACGCGTGGCACTCGGGACCGTACGAGGTTTCGCACGCAGCCTGTGACTCCTAGCGAAATCAATGCCGTTAAAAAGTACGTTTTTCAAGGTGACAATTGCAGCATATACGCCGCAATATAAACAATATGAATATATTATGATGACGCGTATATTATGCTGTCATGCAATTTTATCATACTTATCGTTCTAGAACTACTGCTGCTACTACACACTCGGAAAACAACACTCTGATCATAAGAAATGTTTCAACACCCACCTACGGCGGTCGTAGTTGGGTTGATAACGAGAATGTTGCCGGTGTGACCTTGAAACGTGCCAACAGCGTTTCGGCGAAAACTCGCGAATTCCATAGTATTTTCGATAAGACCGCTACAGATACCTGTGTCATATCATCAGATGTCAACAGTAATATCTGCACAGGTATTTATATAATTATTAAGTACGTACCACGTGGCCTTATCTTTTCGAACAATTTTTTTATTATACGACTATACCGATAAAACTGTATATAAAAGAAATATGTGGATTAAAATAACAAAAATAACTATAGTTACGGTACAATGATAAACTGAGTACCATTTTAGATAACAAAAATAATCTGTCTAGAGAATAATTATCGTATTATTTTTTATGTA